GAATTAAATCATCAAGAACCAGATTTCAAACCAAAAGAAAGTACTTCTTCCACCAGCACATCCTTAAACTGTGGAACCTGTCGCTGCAGGAAACTGTGAAGGCCAAAACAGGTTCAGAAGAACTTCATGGAGGAAGATTCATTGGAGTTCACTAGAAACAAGGATGCAGACCTCCTCTTGCTCATGTATCTCTCCAGCAGGGTAAAGGTGTACTACAGAAAGCATCGCTGGAGGTGTTCCTGGTTCGTATGCTCTTTCCCAAAAAATTGGTTGCTGGCTGTTGTGGTAGATACAGTTACTGGTGCGGATGGACATACAGGACGCTTCAGCAGAGCTGTACTTCAGTAACAGAACTTTGGATTTGCAGTTGGGAAGGACAATCTTGGGTCAACCCACAACAAGAATATTTGGTGGTTTGTTGCCAAAAGAAAAAAAAACAAACAAAAAAACACCTGACAGTTTTGGGTCAAACAAAACATTCCGAAACATTCAATTTGATCCAAAGTAAAACGTTCGCTAACATGCAAGAAAAACGTTAATATGTTTTGGACTATTAACAGAAGCAAATTTTCCAGAAGTTTGAAGTAAAAAATGTCGATGCTAAAGACATTTAAGACTATTTGAGAAATTTAATCCATATTTTCATGTCATTTTGACTGAACCCAAAACTGCTTTTTCCCCCCCAACAAAAGAAGTTTTCCCTCAATGTCCGTTTGGCAGACCTGGAGGGAGAGAGGAGCGTCTTGGTGGGAGTGCTAAACCGTGCAGCTGGAGGTGCTGGGGAACATCCATCTCTCCGAACTCTTGGTGGGAGTGCTAGACCGTGCAGCTGGAGGTGTTGGGGAACATCCATCTCTCTGAACCTGCTGAGCCAGCCCTTCACCTGTGCTGGCCGCCTGGTTTCCCACCCCCGGGAGGGTTTTCCTTCCAGCCTCAGGTGCCGGGGCGGGCAGCGGGGGAAAGCCCGTGCTCAGCACACTTCCCCTTTCGGCTCTCATCTTTAGTGCTCCCTGCCAGCCGTCTGGCTCTGCAGGGTGGGCTGCTGGGCCCAATCACTTCTTGCCCCACCTGGGCCCTCTGCGTGCACCCTTCTCCTGCTCTGTAGGGTTTTTTTTTTTCCACTGCGTTATTGGGAAATTTTTGCATTTTTTGCCCCCCGCGTTGGGTAAAGGGGAAGAAGAGCTGGGACTCTTTAGTCTGGAGAAGAGAAGGCTGAGGGGAGACCTTATCAATGCCTACAAGTATCTCAAGGGAGGGTTGAAGGAGGAGGGAGCCAGACTCTTTTCAGTGGTTCCCAGTGAGAGGACAAGGGGCAACGGGCACAAGTTGGAACATAAGAGGTTCCACTCAAATATGAGGAGAAACTTCTTCACGGTGAGGGTGACAGAACCCTGGAACAGGCTGCCCAGGGAGGGTGTGGAGTCCCCTTCCTTGGAGATTTTCAAGACCCGCCTGGATGCAGTCCTGAGTAACATGCTCTAGCTCTAGGCAATCCTGCTTCGGCATCTAGTTGGACTAGATGATCTCTATGGTCCCTTCCAACTCTAAAAATTAAGTGAAATTCAGTGAAAGAGACAGTGAAATAGAGAGTCCTGTGTCTGGGCCACGCTGTCCGTGGGCCAACATGGACGAGAAAGATGTCCAGAGAGCAGGTCCAGAGAGGTAATTCTTCCACTTTGCTCTGGTGAGACCTCACCTGGAGTATTGTGTGCAGGTCTGGAGCCCTCAATATAAGAAGGACATGGACCTGATGGAGAGGGTCCAGAGGAGGGCCACAAGGATGATCAGGGGCATGGAGCACCTCTGCTACAAGGACAGGCTGAGGGAGCTGGGGTTGTTCAGCCTGAAGAAGAGGAGGCTCCGGGGAGACCTAATAGTGGCCTTCCAGTACCTGAAGGGAGCCTACAGGAAGGCTGGGGAGAGTCTGTTTACAAAGGCCTGCAGTGACAGGACGAGGGGCAATGGTTTCAAGCTGGAGGGGAACAGATTTAGGTTGGAGATTAGGAGAGGGTTCTTCACTGTGAGGGTGGTGGAGCACTGGAACAGGTTGCCCAGGGAGGTGGTTGAGGCCCCATCCCTGGAGATATTCAAGGAGAGGCTCGACGAGGCCCTGGGCAACCTGGTCTAGTTGGGGGTGTCCCTGCTGACTGCGGGGAGGTCGGACTAGATGGCCTTTGGAGGTCCCTTCCGGCCTGGACAATTCTATGATTCTATGAATATCCTCTTGGCGCTTTTGGCCCGGTTTGATTGCGAGATCTGGTGGCAAAGGGTGCCCTTTGGTTGTAATTCGGTTGTCTCTCGAGTGCACACTGACAATGTCTAATGACTGTTGTTGAAGAACTGTCAGATGTTGTTACACCAGGACACCAGATTTGACTGCTGCTCATCAAGGTACCAGAAGTCCACCTCTGTTAAGACAGTAACATATAATTAAGAAATGACCAATAGAGGTCTAATCTGTATCCTCTTGGAGTCCGTAACAAAATTATGAGTGATTTCACCTGAGGCTGAGTTGATTTGGCTGCTGGGAGATGGAGAGAGTGTGACTGAAGGACTGTGGTGGTCCTATGGGCTGAGCCAAGGCAGGTGGGCTACTAGATGACAGTACAAGTCATGTCATCTCTAGGGTAAGCCACGTGCCCTAGTGGCAGAGGATTCAGCTGAGGGTACCTAGCGTGGCTGGAGAGGACAGCCTCTGAGTGAGTAAAGCCACTTTTGGAGAGGGACCTTTGGCTCTCAGACCCGTGTGTCATCAATTGCTTCCCAAATAGTTTTACTAAATGCTATAATAGGGGAAAATATGGGCTGGTGGGCTGGGGGATATTACTTTTGAAAGTTTTACTGACTGAGTCAAGCAAGAGTACCTCAGTACTCGAGATACCCAAGTGCTGATCCTGGCTGAGACAGGGAGCTCCTTCGCTTTTCCACCTCCCGGTCCCCATCTGTGAAACACCAGTGATACTTATGTTCACATTTTCCAGACGCGCTGTACATTATTTAACGTTTCTAAACACTAACTGTACAAAGACCGATGGTTGCCTTGGGTAGTATCCTAATTTTATTTGATGTAACAGAAACGTTGAGGGAAAGTTAGCAAAGCTGTGGCACTGTCTGGTCCGTATGGGGATTCATTTTCATTGTCACGCTCAGCACCGAGGTATTGCTGTGTGTTTTTGCCGCGTACCCGGTGTTGCTTTGAGGAGTTTGATTATCAAAGAAACTATCTTTACAAAAGCATCATGGAAGAATCATCCCACGGAAGAAGCGGGCTGTTTGCGTTGAAGGCAGAAGGTCAGGGTCCCAAAAGCTGTCCCGAGTCTTGCAGGACATCAGTGGGGCAGCACTCCTGGCTGTGCTGAGATCCACCCAGGGCGGGCTTTGCCACAGAATTTGCTGCTTGAATTCGTTTCCTCCGTTTGGTGATATTAAAGATGAACTCCATGGCAGTCTCTTAAGGGAAAGAACCGCCTTGTCTTCACATCTCATTTCCATACCGCTCTTACTTTGCTGCCAAAAATAGGTAGTTACAAACACGTCTTGATATTTCCTTTCTGAAGTACGGTGCGCGCATCCATTGGTAGAAGTGGTTTCGGTGGCCAGGACCTGTGACACAAATCCTGACTGATTCATGTGCTGCAATTACTAAATGGGCAATAGGTCTGCAGGAAAAAAAAAAAAAAAAAGAATATAAAAAAGCCCCAACCAACGAACCAACCAACCAACCAATTGCCTCAGGAAGTTGGATTTAGACCGGCTCGGTCTTTTCCAGTAAACACGTGAAGTTATCTGAATGGCTGTGAACAGCAGCCCACGAGGAAAGGAAAATTGCAGGCTTTTCCGTGGTACTTCCATGACGTGGGCATGTGTTTCCCACTCCCAGCAATGTTAGGGAAACTCAGAAGCGGTGATAGCCCCACTGATGGCATTTTGTCCTATCTCCATGTAAATCAGGTGGTGGCAGTCGCTGCAGGGAGGTGGGGTGGAAATAAAAGGGATGTTGTGTAGTCCACTGTAGATGGCCTTTGCCAGGTTCAGTCATTTCCTGTCCATCTGCCAAAAATCACAAGCTGATAAATGGACATAATTGGAGTGTGGGAAACTGTATTGCGTGATGATCTGCAGGGGAGGGGGGAAAGAATGAAAGAAGACTGGTGAATAAAGAAAACAAGACTTTATCAGTGGAGATGCAGTCTGACGGGCCGATGCTGAGATAGAGAATCTTGTTTATTCTTTCCTCTGACTCTTGGCGAGGGTTTTAACTGGCTTGTCCCTCCCGTCTGTCTGTGCAGATAGGAGCAAAGACTGCATGTCCACGTGTGTTGGTCACCACGAAAGGAGGGGGTATATATTTACACGTGTCACCAGCTCCAGGGAACGGGCAAGCAGGCAGCAGTGTCTTTTCTCTGCCACTTCTTTCTTTTTTTAATTTCCTTTCCCCTAATACCATCCCACAGTGGAAAATATCAGCACATGAAGTTGTGTTCTGTCGAGGCATTGCAGCTGCGTGTACCCAGGTTCGGCGGTGGCAGCTCTCTGCCATCAGCACCTATGGTGGCTAATATACTTTCCAAACAGCTCTTTTTATGGAATTATTCCCTTTGGTTCCCTGTGGTTCCCTTTGCTTCACGTTTCCCAGTGAGATTTCCTGTGGTTCCCTTTGCTTCACGTTTCCCAGCCAGTTCTAGAGCAACTGAGATGTTTTCCCTGTCACTGGATTGAAACGTTAAGTGCCTTTGATGCAGAGGAGGATCCGGGATGCTGCTGTTCTTGCCATGCTTGGTTGTACACTGTTTAGCATGTTAATAACCTTGGTTAATCCTGCTGTTCTGCACTGTGGTCAGCCTGTACGAGCTGCCTGGTGGTGTTTCACTTACTGTCTGGAGCTTACAGAAGCTGCCAAGGAGCGGACACAAGTCTTGGGGGGCTGTGAGCTGAAGAGACCCACCCGCCGCAGCGGGATGCTAATCCATTCCTTTTCTCTTTGTCTTTTCTCTTTGCAGTAAATGAAATTATAAGGAATGACCTTTCCAGTACCAATGTGCATTCGTAGCTTTCAATACAGCAGGAAAATCCACACACACACTTTTGAACTTGGCGCGTCAGCTCAAGTAGAGAGATTCCGACTAAACCGAAGAAGACGTTGCCTGGTACCACCCTGATCTTCCACCTCACTGAATGTCAGGAACTGAAGATTTACCTCTTGCTTACAAAGAAGTAGCCCCTCGACTTCCAACTGATGAAACAGCTTCTTTAAGGGAAAATCATCTCAAAAGGAAGAGGAGGGAGCACGCTCCGAGACGGCGCATTTCACGGGACAAAACTAGGAAACTCAGCGGAACCTGAGTGCTTCTTCCCAGTGCTGATCTTTTTTTGGCATGGCACCGCTGGAATACAGCCCTGGAAGTGCCTTATTTTACCAGGTTGTGGCATCAGGGCATTTTTAATAAGCTTTGGATTTGCTACCATTAAAAAGTGTTGGTAGGTGCAGCAGCTATAGAGCTTGCGTTCTGGAGAGCGATATTGGAAAAAAGCGTAGGACTCTGCAGCAAAGCAGGGAGAGGGATCCCTGCTCCAGTAGGATACATTTATGAATTCCAGAATTTCTTCAGCTTTCCCTCTGCTGTAATGTACAGCCTATTGCCTTACGCTCAGTGCATTTCAAAAGCCTCCTTGATTTGTCATCATCTCAGCTTTCTTTTGCGTATTGTCTTTATTATGTGCTAATGAATCATAGGGTTGTTAGTAGTAGCATGTTAAGATTTTGATTTTAATCTGGCTTCAGTCATAGCACAAGTGAGTCGAATAGCACAAAATAAAAAAAGGTTGATGGACAAAAAATTGAAATCTATCTTTTACATGATAGATGAATGTGTATGCATGTACATACATACTAGTATATATGCATATATTTATATATGACAAATAATATAGATGATTGCCTGGTGAGGGCACTGAATTTAGCAATAATTTCAATTTCTGAGAATGCATTTCAGATCCACATCAGATATTTCAGCTACTTCTTTTGAGGGTTGGTCGCACCTAAAGCAGGTATGCATTTTCTTTCCTCATGCAGTTAAGCAAGCACTTTAGATAGGCAAGAAGGATGCATACAAGATACATGTTATTTACCAAATGACAAAAATATGAGTTATAGTGACTGTAAATACCATTATGGAAGAGTGTAAAATATTTGTTCAGTTATAATGTTATTATTCCGCAGAAGCCTTATAACTCTCTGCTACATGTATGAAAAAGAATATTACCAAAAAACCACAAAGGTTTAATATGCAGCGCTGTATAGTGTGTTTTCAGATTAGCTAATGTTTCTGGAGCTACAGGTAGGCATGTAGTGTAGCCTTTAACATTGTATTTTTTACAATCAACTGCTTATTATATAACTAAGCAACAACCTATTATTTCATATAACCAAAAAAATAAAATAAAATAAAAACAATAAAATAAAATAGCATGACTTAAATTAAAAATGTTTAACATTAATATTGTGCCTTAGGAATCTGCGCCCCCTTCTGGAAATACACCTGAACTACACCTCCCTGCTGGGGTGGCTCCTTAACCCCAGTGCAATGAAGATTGAACAGGTTTCACGAAAAGGTGAAACCCTCCTAAGCGTTTTAAAACATTATTCTGTATAATTATGTCTTACTTTCTTTAGGGGAAAAATAAAAAAAAAAAAAAGAAAGCCATATTTGTCACATTTGCACATTACTGTGAAGACATGAGAATATAATATGGCTATATGTACATAATAATGCTGTTATTGGTCCTTTATAATAGTCTGTTATTCCTCACCTGTTTAATCCCAGTTATTTACCCTGTATTTAGCATTGTAGACGTTGCATGAAACATTTCTTATAGACTGCCATATGAAAAGTTAAAAAGCCTGACAGATGTCAGCTTGACTTGTAGCTAGAAAAATAGATCCAATAAAGCAAAATGTTTTGCTGGAAGCTAGTCTTAGAGTGGTTCATTTTATGTTATCTTGACAAATCTTCCTCTCTCATATAAAATAAGCATTTTTTACATTATAAACATATATAAAAATATATATCTCCATCTCTTCTATTTGAAGCTGTTTGCATCCTGCTGTATCCTGCTAATATAACCCCGTTAGTACGACAGCGAAGTCTCTTGTCCACAGACTCTTCTTCGTTTCCCCCCCCTGCATTTAAAGACGTTGCTGCCAAGGAGAGAAAATGATACATGATACAATTCTCAGATTTTATTCTCTCACTATTTCAGAAATGTCAACAAAGTGTGCGTGGAGGAATCTCTGGTTATGCCAAAGCGTTTTTTTTTAATTCATTTACATAAATACCTTGGGTGAGGATTTGCGATACAGGCTGATACACACAGACACACCCTCCACGTTTCAGCAGCAATTTTAGCAAGGTTTTTCAACTGTATGGTTTGAATATGTTGCACCTCCTTCATCCTCATTTTTATTTTCCTCTTTATTTTGGAAAAAAAAGAAAAAAGAAAACAAAACCAAACAACAACCTGTTACTTTTAAGCCTGGATAATGGAAGATTATGCATCTCTTGTATATGTATTCATAAAATAAAAACGAAAGCAGAAAGATTTCCCGTATGAGACTGCTATCTTGTTTTTGTACACGCGTTATGGTTGTTGCTGCCTGTTTATGAAAACGCTTTTCATCAAGCCTTTTTGAAAACAAAGCGAAAACCAAAAAGCCACAACGCTCTGAACTTCGAGCGTAGGCCTTCATAGGGATGTTCAAAAAGGCTTCCCGCCGGGGATGATTCTGACTGTTAAACGGAGCCCCTCTGGATAAATTTTAAGTGGTGAAACTTCACGACCTTGGTTGATCATGCAACGAAGTACGTGTTGCTTGGACGGTTCCTTCTGCTCTCCCCGGGCCCATTTCTGAAACGCGTGGGTTGCTGAGGGTAGGGTGTTGGATTTGTGGTCTTCAGGGTAGTAGGTTCAGGAGGCACGTCTTTGTTAGGCTGGAGGCTCCTGCAGGAGCTGTGTCTGTGTGATGGACCCAATCTGTGTGATGGGTCCTGCTCCCTAAACCCCCCCCCGGCCAAGCTACTCTGCCCTGAAGGATGTCACCAAAGGGTGTCAGCTTAGTCAGGGCTGGGCTGAACATGGGCCTGGGTTTCTGGTCACCTCATCAGGTGTTGCATGAGTATCTACCAACGCGTGACACCTGATGGGCCAAATCATGCAGAAACCCTGGGAAAACCTGAGCTGCTTCAATTTTTCCAGACCAAAGGCAAGTTATGAAGCCTGCCTCAGCGGTCCCGGTCTAGGTAAGCATTTAAAACACATCTCAAAAAATTCCTCCTGAAGAAGGAGACACAAATAAGCGTTTAAGCTTTTGTTGAATGAAGACCTTTCTCTGCCTTGGGTTTGTCTTCCTGTGAGTATGGGGTGACACAACCTGCTCACTGTGTCACACCTGGGGCTGCTACCAAACCCCTCCCAGTTTAAGGAGAGGCAGGTGCTCAAAGCCCAGTAAAACCCCGGTATGGGTTTTAGAGGTCGGTCAAAATCCTCTGCTTCTCTGGAAAGAGAAAATGGGAAAGAAAATGGGCACAAACTTGAGTATAAGAAGTTCCACCTAAACATGAGGAGGAACTTCTTAGCTTAGAACGTGGCAGACCCCTGGAAGAGGCTGCCCAGGGAGGTGGTGGAGTCTCCTTCTCTGGAGACATTCCAAACCCACCTGGACACGTTCCTGTGCAACCTGCTCTGGGTGGACCTGCTTTGGCAGGGGGGTTGGACGAGATGATCTCCAGAGGTCCCTTCCAACCCCATGTGATTCTGTGATCCCCTCCTCAAAGCACAGCAGACCCGAGCATGGCTACATTAACCACATCTTGACCAGATTTTAGGTGACAGTAGCCTTCAGCAAACTCCCAGCTGACTACTTTTCATTCATGACCAAAGCAGAAGGTGAATCCCACACATCCATCTGGTCCTGTTTGACTCAATAGCCTTGCTGGAGTCATGCCTTCAAGATTTTTTTCCTTTCCAGCTGAAAATGGCAAATTTCAAGGAGCTAAGTGTTTTGGACAAAGCTTTACTGCCTTGAAGCTAAGCTTTCCTTCACCATGTGTGTAATTTTATTGCATTCATCACTGTAAATCTCATGAATTTCAGTAAAAATAAAACAAAATCCCTCTCATCAAGTATATTACAGAGGGGTGTTCAGGTCAATGGCGTAAGATCTTCTCAGTTTCTGTAGCTCTTTTTTAAACAAATGGTCTAATTTTATGTCATAAGCAGTGATTGGGCTGCTCAGCAAACTAAAGCGGGTCCCACCTTCTCCCCCATCGCACACACTTGCCCAATCCAGGGGTCAAGCTGTTTTAATTTGCCTGTATTGTTCCCTCTTTCTCAGCGAGTTAATGTTTTTCTTCTTTGAGCCTCTTTTCCAAAAAAATAAAACGGTTTTTGATTCTCTTCTTTTCAGGTAGCCAAATAATTTGTTCGGAGCAGATCGGTTACAGATCCTCATGCTGTTGGCTTTAATTACGAGCCGCTCTTGAGTCCAAAACCAGCTTTTTTTTGGCCGAAGGGACTGCATTTTTGGACTGTGCAAACTCGTGGAGCTTTGACAATCCGAGTGGTTGCGTTTTCAGGATTTAAGGCGACCGGTGCCGTACCTGGCACTTGCTGTCGCCCGTGGGCGCGTTAGCTTTTGTCATTTAAACTGAAAATTTGCTGACTGCGGCGTTCCCTTCGCCACTTTCAGGGACGAGCAGCCCACAAGCCGCTCTTTGCAGATGCGGCAAATTCATTTTCAGTCATTTTAAGGAAATCCCTTTTTTTTTTTTTTCTTTTTTCAGCTCTGGGGGGGAAAGAGTTTCCAAAAAACGCCGTCAGCATCAGTTTCCAGCACCTCTTCTGAATTAAGTTTCGCACCCGCAGCTCCTGCCCCCAGCCCAGCCCTTTCCCAGCCCTGCTGACGGAGGGCTTTTGGGTCAGAAATAACACGGAGCGGACACCGGTGGCAGAGCCGTCCTGGCCCAGGGCTTGGCTTGCTCTTCAGCCTGGTGGCCACTCTGCTGACTTGCTTGGTGGGTCTGTAGCTGGTCCAGTGGGAGCAGCTGCTGTTTGAGGCATCTCCCTCAGCATCTCCCTCAGCATCTCCCTCAGCATCTCCCTCTCCCTGCCCGGCTGGGGGTTGCCCTACGCCTGCTGCCGGGGCCACTGCATGCCCATGATGCTAAAGGTGTTCAGAAGCAAGCCCTTGGTGCCCAAACGGAGCGTGGGTTTGCCCCCACTGGTGTCACTCTCTTGGCTTCCCCACGGGGGTTCCTGCCAACTTTAGGACTATCCCTTGCCCCCCCTTGTCAGGATTGGGGCACGGGGACTCGCTGGCTGAGAGGTTGGTTGGTTGTTGGTTTTCTGCCACACCAGGAGGTCCCAGGAGAACAGATTCTGCATTTTCAGGTGCGTTTTTAGGCCTCGCACTGGTGGCATTTCCCAACCAGGTCTTGGGGTGCAAAATCTCTGAGAACACCCACGGTGGAGGGGCTTGAAATTGAAGGTGGTGGTGTTCTCATCCAGGCAAGGGGACATTCCGGTGACACCAGTCTCCTGGTACTGGGGGAGAGCAGAGACCTCTGGGCCTCACCAGAAAATATTTCAGTGCTTGGCAGGAATTTTTTAACTGCAAAGTTAGGGATTTTTTCTGGTCTGGTTTGTTTGGGTTTTTTAATAGGAAAAATGACATTTCCTCCAATGTGAAATCTTTTGCTCTACTTGCTTTATTATTTTTTTTTTAATTTTCTGCTTAGAAAATGCAAACCACATATTATTTTGGGTCAGGTTGATCTAGACTGGACCTTCTTTCCCCCTCACCTCCTCCCTCCACATCTCTGGCCAGAGGACAGGTCCCCCTCCACCCGGGCAGAGCCGCGCCGGCGTCACACGCGTTCTGCTTTGGCCGGATTTCTTCAATGGTTTCTTTGCAGGAAACTCCTCACGGATCTTTCCTGCCTCCCCCTGGCCCCCTTCCAGCGCTCCTGCCTGGGCCGAGCTGATCCAGCCCACTGCTCTCATCATCCCCCTGGCAATCTTTTTATTACTTTTTTTTAAATTATTATTTTTTTTACTGTAAGCTTCTTGCGTATTTTATCCTGTAAACCAGCTTGGCCCTAGTTGGATGATGACACCAAATTGAGCATGCACCTTTGGGCAGGTTGAATGAGTTACTCTTGGGATTTGCATCCACCCCATGCACGGGCAGACACTCCACTGGTTTTTAACCCCCGTGGGCACACTGGGATGGCTCCTGTCCAGTGGCAACTCCTTGCCAAGTGCTCCCCCCCAGCAAGATGCTGAGACCCCAGCTGCACACGCAGAGGGGATGGGGTTTCTCGCTGGTCATACAAGGACTTCAGCTTGAGGGACATCGTGAAGGACTTCACTGGCCGAGCGCTCCCTGGATGGGGATGGGGCACTGAGTCTCTTGCTCTGACCTACAGCAACCCCCCCTGCCCTCCATCCCCCTTGGGACAAGTCCTTGGCAGCCCCAAAACTCAGTGGTGGTCGTGGAGTTGCCAAAAAAAAAAGGTGTGTTGGGGGCTGAAGAGCAGGAGAGGCAGAGGGAGGAGGAGAAGCAGCACCACACGGCGTTAAGATGGCTGCTGGCAAGGCAGCAGGAGCCACAGGCATTTCCCTCCTGACGACGTTGTCGTGGGCCAGGCAGGGAGAGGAGACCCACGGCAGCACAGCCCATGGGGCCCAGGCCATGTTGCCCCAGCTGGAGGTGAGTGTGGGCCTGGCCCAGCAAGGGCTGAGAACAGCCACACTTCAGCACACCTGTGGAAACAAACTCTCTGCCAGCACAACCCCGGGACGTGCCCCACGGAGACCTCCCATCACCGTCCTTCTGGCGTCTGCTGGTCAGAGCAGTTTAAGTGGGTTTTTAGTGGTTTCTCCATCCAGCAGCATGGGAGTTGGGGGGGCA